TAATATATAATATTAATATATATTATTGGAGTTTGAGTCAAGACTGTGCAGTGAAGGAGACTACTGTGCAGTCATCCCATAAATGACATTTGTTGCCAAAATTGTACAATATGCTAGGGCTGAGACACAAACTGGAGGGACATGAAGAATAATTTATGGGGTGAAGGTATCTGAATGTCATTCTGAGGACCTGGATGCTAACCCTGCTCTGCTAAAGACACCAGACCTATGCGATGCTAGTCCACGCTCTCTCAATATAAATTTCTTCCAGGTTTCTTTACTCATGTCTTCTTTACTACTGAAGTGTCCAACTTGATGCCGGTACCTGATATGCCTAAGTGCTGAGTACTTATACAGGTAGGAAACAGAAATCGGGGTATTCTACATGTAGCAATTGTATCTAATGCTATTTTCAAATATTTTCAAAAATCTGGACCCGTGTGTAACAAGATACTACACAGAGACTTATACTAGAAAGAAGACCCCAAGGAGATTAATAACTTTTTCAGATGAATTTACGGCAGTACACAGGAAAAAGAGGAAGGGTCCATGAAGAAATACTAAAAGATGTGAACTATGAAATAAGCCCAAGTAGAAGTATGGAGAAAAACCTGTAAGGGCTGTGAAGCAACCCTACAAAAGGGGCAACCAGGTGCCCCAGGCTGGCTGGGGGATTTGGTACCTCCTGTTTCCTTATGGGCAAGCAATGGGGCAGAACCAACCATACCACAAAAAAAGGCCACTGGATTCAGTGGAATCGCAGACAATCCTTGCAGCCTGCTAAATATACAAATGCAAATCAGAAGATGGGAGTTTTTCTTAAATTGTACTGTTCATCTCAACTTTTAACACCTCTTTAAAATTGCTGCTGGTGTCACCTTCCTTGAGTCACGTACTTCGCTTCAGCGACACGAGCAAATAACTGGGGAGGTGCCAAAAGCCCTTCTATGTTCTCACCACACACCCTTAAGCTCCAGTAAGATATTTTGAGGATGATCTTGCAAAAAAACAACCCCCAACATTGTCTCATTGGCATAACAAATATTTCTCTTAAGCGCCGTGTGACATATAAATAGAAGAAAAGCTTGCACCTTAAAAGGAGCTGAAGACAAATAATTATTTAATTCCTTTAAGCCTGTGTTTATTGTGCTAAAGTATTGCAAGCTGACTTTAAATTCTCACACAAAGCAATACATTTTCACTGCAACAGTAAATAAGCAACAGCATCCTAGAACAAATCCAATCATAGTACAATTTCTACTTTTCTATCCTTTTATAGCTGCCCAGATTTTTTTTTTCCTCCTAAAGTCAACCATTTTTCTCTTTTTCTCTATGCTGATGCTTCGTGTCCTAATACTTACTGCTTCACAGTCTTTCTAACCTCGTATATTTGTAAATAAAAGCTAAAAGGCAAGATAAAACCAAACAGCTCGCACGTCTGACACAACGCTCTGCACTGAGCCCCTTGTCTGGTTAAATATAGCCAGATTTCACAAATTCTGAAACGCTTCTCAGCAATGGGAAATAAACTGAATTTATCTGAATAAACCTGTGCTCTGCCTGCAGCAGCAGCTGCCAGAGGGAGAGGGAAGAGATAAGAAGGGCAGATCTTGTTAAAAAGCGTGTTTGGTCAGAATAGTTTTGATGTAATAACTTTTTTGCTGTAAATTTGAAATCCTACACATGAAAGCTCAAACAAGTAGGCTGACATTTTACAAAGGCTACTGTAAATATCAGAAGATGCAATAAAAATGCAGATATCAAAGATCTGGAATGATTATCGTAACCAACACAAGGAATTCAGAAAATTAACTCTTCAGTTTGGCCGATCTGCTAAGCTCCTCAAAATGAGAGTCTTAGGAAGGAAAAGAATTTAATTATTCCATTTCACAAGTAAATAAATGGGCATTTACTTACTTTCTGTTCCTTTTTCTGGCTCGGTTGTAAGCTTCTAGACCTTCTGTTAGTGTCTTCAACTTCTCTGGCTCCACCTGAGTGAAGGTATGAACACCAAACCACATTACCCAGACCTGCAATTATTAAACACTGCTTTTACTTTACTGCTAGACATGCATTATTACGGAGCCTAATTTTCACTGCATCCATAAGACACAAACCTTCCCAGCAAAGAATAAATCAATGTCTGGCTATATACACCCCCTCACACATATATGCATATATTATAATTTCTCTAGATGTCCACACCACTAGCAAGAGAAATACAAAAAAACCTAAACCACGACACTTAAGAGAACAAAACTAAGAAGGAAAATAGTATTTTGAAAACCTTGTTTGTCTTTATGTTATTAACATGAATACGTTGTTAAAGTCTCATATTCTGCACTCATATTTTACAGATGTATTTTACACCTTTGAGACCACCTGGAATGCATTAAAATACCAAGTTGCCTAGTACACGATACAATTTTTACAGATGCCATCAAAGCCTTTCACAACACCTCAAATTTCTGGATAAAGCATTTAATGTGCCAGTTCAACAACGCTGCTAACGGCACGGCCAAATGAATTCCTATTTCAGAAGAGCCACAGTACGTGCCTAAGTTCACAGGCTTAAGACCTGAGAAGGGGTGGGCAGGGCGACAAGCTCGCTTTACGCATTATGAATCTCCGAGGCTTAACTAGAGCTCGCTTTAGCCAGCCAATTTATCGGGCCCGAGAAAGGTCTTTTTTACTTAAGCACATACTTTCGTGATCTGCCGAGTCAGGAATGAATTTGAGCACGTGCTCAACAGGGTTGCTGAGCTGGTATTTAAAGTGCTTTAACTGGAAACTTAAGTTCTCTTGAACTCGACCGGAATTATAATCTTTTAAGCAATGTGTATATAAACCCCTGCATATAATCACTGGCACCACTGGGTAGGTACCAGTTAGTACTAGTATAAACAATACGAACGTGAAAGAAAATTAATTGTATCATCTGTAGGATTTTATCATTTGCATTCTCAAAACGTTAGTCCACTTAACTCTGTGTATTATTTTGATTTGGCTCAGTCACTTCTGCTTGTAAAAACAAAAAAAAAGGTATTTAAATGCATCAATTTAAAGAAAATGAATGGATAAATTCCTTTTTCCTTGTCACTATTGCTACATTTTGCTTGACTTATTTTTTAATCTTTGCATAACTGAACAAGAACCTTATATAGCATTTGTTTCATTAAAAAGTACAGCTTGTATTCTGACACAAGGAAAATTAATTCTATACATACAAATTTATTAAGCATGCCTATATACAACCCAAAAAATAAATTTAAATGCAAATTCCCTCTAAACCCAGCCTTTCAATTACTGAATAATTTATTTTCACAATGCAACTGCATTTTAGACGTGACAACGTGAAGCTAATGAGTGAGCAAGCTGTCAAAATCTCTAGAAATAAGGCCCAATACAATACACATTTAGACCAAATTTCACATGTCTTGAACTTACACATCTGCTAACGAAATTGGGGAATACTGCTGTTTCAGGAGCTTACAAGACGAGAGTCATTATTGGTGAAATCCGCACACGGGGAGGCAAGGTTTCTATTTTCATGAAACAGATTAAATTATGCCACAGATTGTAGCACTTTTCCCTTAAAACTGTGCTTACTTTTAATGTAAGACCGCAAATATTTCAAATAATTCCTCTCCTAATCAGACTTTGGAAAAATACGAATGCATACATAAGAAATACTCTCTATTTAAAACTTGCGGAGCTTTTCTAAGGGTGAGCGTGAGACGAAAAGGCACACAACGCTCACAGAGCGGGCAAACCGGCTTCGGAAGCCTGTACGTTCCATCTCCTACGTTCAAACGGTATTATCGGAGGCAATGCTACCTGTCTGCAATACACCATAGCTCGAGCCTTCATTTGACAGAATGTCTGAAAAACAGCTAAAGAAGAAACTTGTATTTTTCAAACTGAACAGAATTAAAGGGCAATACCATAATCATCTTGATCCTTTACGTTGGACACTTTAATACGTGACATAATGCCGAGTTGTACATTGTCCCTACCCATGACATGTACGTGTAAATAAGGAACAAACTCTGCAAAGGGTTGCACATCTCTACCAACAGATCTATAAGAAAGTTCAACGGTAAGTATTTTTATGAAGAGCTAATACCATGTTTGGGTCACAAGGGACTTACGTAACAAAAAGAAATCAATATCTTCATTATTGGAATTTTGTGATGAACAGTAAAACAGTAAAACTGTTCTGTGTAGAACAGTAAAAAACCTGCTAGCACTATTTTGAAGAAGTAGTATCAAATTGCTACCGTAACTTGGTATTGGAAGCAACTATAACAGATATATTTGAGTTAGTAATGTCATATGCCTTCATATACAATAAGCCATTACAACACTAAATAATACATACAAATGGGATTTTCAGGACACTGAGAAATCACACCTATTATTATCTGTAGAACTAGAAAAGCTCGGTTTAAAAAACCTAGTTTAACTGATGGAAAGTCCTACTGAGAACACTACTCGCCCCGTTAGCATCACTACAAAATGCGCTAACAACAGGCAACTACTACTTTCACATTGTTGCTCTCAAAGCCTTGTTCCTGTTTAGGTGATTTGATTTGGATAATAATCAAATTAATTACTTAAGGAAACACACATCCTCTGTTTTAGGACGCATGTAGCTTCAGGCTTGCTTCTTCCCTTTTCAGAAATTTCTGCTGCTGCTGCTGCGCTTCCCTTGGGTTCCTCTGTAATTTTCCAACAGCCAAAAAGCAAGTGTTCGTTAGGAAACACAGGTGCAATATTCCTCCCTTCTCCTGTTAGGGAAACACCATTCTAGCTGCTCTTCAAACAGAAGCATTATTACATTTAATACCCAAAGTCTTTTAAATGGAAACAAAAATCAAATTATGTATGATATAAAGAATAGGGAATATACAAAGTACCACGAAATCCCAACAGCATAGCAAAACTAATGTTACAATATTGGAGGTTAACATTTGATTATACAAATACTTTAAAAGATGTTTTAAGAAAGCTCTGCAGAAAGTACAATTTTCAGAACTGCTGCTAGCGACTCCCACCATGAATTGTAACCTTTCAGGATTTTTTGAAGCGCAGAATTTCTGAAGACCATTTGATTTTCATGGTTATTTCTTTTCGGTTTTCAAGGTTGTTTTTTTTTTTTTTTGTTTGGTGTGGGGTTGTTTTCTTTTTCCTTTCTTCAGACCAGGCTGCCTAAACATCTGAAGAATGTAGCTGTACAACATGTTACAGGAGTGTTTGAACACGTGTACAGATTGCCACTGCGCATGGGAGTCCCTGCCTATTTTCAAGTAGAAACAGAACTATGATACAGCACATGCACATTTTCACCTCTTTCATATTCCCCTGCATCCCACCTTTCAACCTCAACCCCTGACCTTTGGAACGGTCATTCAATCTGTACTTCTTGTTGAAGAAAATTAGCTATACTTTTTTTTTTTTTAAATTTTAAATTCTTATTATTAAAGGCCTTCTGATGTGAGAGGTGATCCATTAAGTGGGAATTCCTGATGAAGATCTTGAAAGTCTCTCTTGCCACCTCCACAGGTACCTTGACAGTACTGCATGAGCAGCAATGTAGGCATTTCCACACTTTGCTTCCCTGTTGTTTGTGCTTCAGTATACAATAAAATCTGTGCCACCAAATAGAATATTACACAACGCTTATATAATGTACATAAGAGACACAAAGTTAAAGAAGGTGCATTTGCACGAAAGCAACTATACATTCTGGTATCCACAAACTGCGGAGTAAACTTAGAAAATTGCTAAGGAATGCAAATGAAAAAAAAAATTCACCTCTTCACAAAAGTTATAAAAAATAAGCTCTTCAAATATATCAAAACAGTCATATAGCTATGGATACACAATTTTGTGAAGTTAATACATAAATACACACTTGGAACATAGGTGCAGTGTAATTACTGTATTCGTAATTCATACGGGACAGTGATATTGCACACCTCCTAATTTTTCCAGTTTGGTTTAATCTTCTATTGTTTGTGGTCCGTCTCATTTGCCTATACTTTATAAACTGACTCGTAACTCGGGGATCTAACCTTTATAAGGAATGAGCTCTTAAGCATTCAAATATTGTTACTGAAGCATGTTGGTTTCTCTATAAAGTAAAGACTTCCGTTCAGCGTACTCAGACGGGAGCTCTTTGAAACCTTTGTGGCTAAGGAGATCAACAGAGAGACTAAAGATCTCTCGAACTAGGGTTGAAACCGTTCTGGCCAAACACCATGCCAGTTATTTATAGCACCAATGCCTCAAAGACCTGCTGGACTCTTTGGGGAAGTTACATTTGCATATCAGCCTCGGGTAACTCTACGCTCATGAAATGCACCAAGACCAGCAGTGCTTACCCTACACATACACCAGCTGCAGCTCAAGAAGTTCCTGAGGCTGTTGGTGAAGAAGCACTCCCTAACATGTTCCTCTACCCTCTCTCCTCTGCATATCTGCCGTTGGCCAAATTTGGGGGAAAGGAGTACTTTGGTCTGACCCACTACCACCATTCTTATGTTCTTTGTCGCGCAATGTACTAGGCAGGTATATGGGGGGGAAAAAAGACATTATTTTTAAGTGGTTTGATTTCTTTGTGTCAGAGGTAAAACGTTATTTCATTAAATCTTTCCTCGCTGCTTACATATTTTTAAAATTTGCATTCTATAAAATGGCACTTAAAAATATTTATATATGGAAGATGTGAAATGTTTTATAAGAACTACAAAAATATAACATTATACAAGTAGTGGAGACCAGAATTTGAAATATTTATCATAATAAAATAACCACTAACTCCTTGATAACTGTATTTTCTGTACATTCCTCACAAAGCATATGATTTGTCAACAAAAAAAAACCCCAACAATTTTAGTATAAAAAAGCAAATTGGAATGCTTTCCTCACTGTTAAAAGATGGCCAAAACCTCCTTTCAAGGTGAAAATGCGCATGCATTTCCTCCTAAAGAGCGTATGTGTCGGTCAGCAAGCTTTTACTTATTACAGACTCCTCAATCTGATTAGATCAGTTTTCCTTTTTGCAGTTTGCAACACTTCTAGATATCTCTATATCAGTTTCTTTGGACACAGCCAGAAGTTCAGCTAAATACACAATGTACATCAAGCAATTTTTTGTTAACAACGATTTTTGTGTAGCAAGTCTTTTGTGGACAAATTAGTAAAGTATAATCAGGCCAAAATATCATCTGTTTCACGTCATTGGTAGAAGTTTCTCATTAGATAACTATGGGAACAATTCAGTTCTGCCAGCTAGTTATGAAAAAAAGCAATTTGTACTACTAAAATAAGAGACAAAGGAAAAATAAAGAATGGACCGCGATAGTTCTGATAAACATTTGTATGGGCATAGGTACACGTGTATATAGATAGATAGATATGTGCATATATATATAAATATACCTTCCCCTCCTCAGCGTTTTGTTGACATGAATTGTGAACTTCTTCTTCTCTTACTAGTTTTCCAGGCCATGAAGTCAGTCCTTTGATTTGGCCCCAGACCAAGTCGCCAACATTAAACGTCCTCGGCCTGTAATGTATCAGCTCATTGGAAGAAGGGGAGTCTGGATTCCTTAGGTCATCTTCACTACTGATGCTTTTAGCATCCGAAGGGCTAGGCACACACCCATTAATGCTTTTGGCATTAAAATCTCCATTGTAATGGATATAGTCTTTAACTAACGAACTTTCCAAGCTATTTGAGGAACTTGGAGATTGCTCTTCCAGAATCAGGTCTTGTTTAGAAGTGTTCAGCAACTCCCCAAATCCTCTGTTCTGCTGAGGCCTGTTTCCGTTTATGTGTGCACATCGTTCCACAGTGTTCTCCAGTCTTTCCTTAAAACTCATCATAGTTCTTTTGTAATTGTTATACCTGAAATTCTCCTCCAACATTTTATCACTTTGACAGTTTCGCTGTGATAACAGTATCTGATGCTGCTCGCCTTGTAATAATGGCAGTGTGGAGATGTTATTGGGCCTTTCGTGACAAGGACTACTATGGATATGGGTAGAGTGGTCTAGAAACTCATCACATTTCCATCTATTTATCTCACTCACAGGACTTTGCTCCCCTTCCCACTGTTTTTTGGGTGTGTTACAACTTGTTGATTTGTAATACTCACACCCATCCCCTTCACTTGAATTTTTACCATGCTCTGAATTCTTCAGGATTCGTGTTCCTCTAGTGTTCCTTATCCTACCTTCATGATCAGAAACGGCAACGTTTCTTCCATGGATTACTGCACTGACAGCACTAGAAAGATTTAATGGGTCACCAATTGAGGCTGTGAAGGCACTCATGGCACTCAAAGCTGGAATGGGACTCATTTGTGTTGTACTGCTAACGGCAGTGGTGATTACTACTTGCATTCCTTTGCTTGCAGCATCTACAACTGCTTTGTAGATAGCGTCCACTGATGTATCACCCTGAGCAGCGACATTGAGGTTATCCTTTGCCTGTTGTCCAAGAGATGGTTCAGTTCTTTGCTGCAAATCACAAGATGTTTCTTGGAAAGGAGGAAGCATAGTGTTGGAGCTCTCAGGAACTGGTGCCATTCCCATTTGAGTGATCATTCTTTTGTTTAGGACAGCAGCATCTTCCTGCATTCTCACCTGGAAAAAGTAGAGAAAAAGATGGAAATTGCTATTCTGCCTAAAGTTCCATTTCAACAGACAAACTTAGTTTCATCTTAATAAAAAAATCAGGATGGTGGCCAGGGTGACTGTTCGTTACAGTAAATTTTAGTTTGGTTATTCATCAGTTATGAAGTTTAAAGCTGAACAAGCCAGACAGAAAACAAAAGAAGTGTAATTCAGAGGAAGACAAAACCACTGACTCTTAGACTTTGCCTCATGGATCAAAAGAGATGCCTTGCATGAAATGATACAACCTACCATGCACTGCTGAGATCACATTATCATCTCTTTCAGAGTCTTTTCAGGGATTTCCTCTTCTGATTGAAGTACAGCACCCTCCTTTTTTCTCTCAAGTCCTAAACAACTCCACCAAGTTCAATATTTCTGTTCTCAACTGCTCTCTTTTGTTCCTTCCCAGACCCTAATTTTGCTTTATTCCTCCCTACCAACTGTTCTTCTGGGCAACTTGTAAGCTCCTCATTCATTTCTGGAATGTAGGCCACCACTGCCCTTTTGGAATTGGCCAACATTTCTGTTTTTTCCTTTCGGTTATGTGCTTCTCTCGTGGGATCTCTTTTTACTTCAGTCCCTTGTAAACCATGCTCGCATCCCTTTGCATTGCAGCTGTAATGTCAGGCACTGCCACAGTAAACTGTAACCTTCAGATTAAAGTAACTGTGCTTTTTATATTTCTTGTCACATACACAGGCACTGAAGATGATGTCAATAATAGCGCTATAACAAAAAAACTGTAAAAAACAAGGGTAAATATTTCCAAAAGCTCCTTTAAATACTTACCATTACTATTTACATAACTGAGAATCTGAAGTAAAAAATACTGAGATAAAGCTACCAAGATTCGTACAAAACCAAAGGGAGGTAAGAGGCAGTCAAAGGACTGTGATTTTGCAATAGCAGTGAAACATCTCCACTGAGAAAATGACACGTCTTCTTTTTCCTCCTTAAAGGGTAAAAACACTTTCTGGCACTATCTGCATGCTTCCGTCTTGACATCTTGAGTTCTGCAGCAACCACAGTAATACTGAATAATAATAAATACGTATTTTAACTCTGGCTTTATTACCTATTTTGGTTGCCACGCTTCCTGTCAACATGTTAGTTTGACAGTTCAACTTGCATTATGAAGAACTGTCTCTTTAGGTGCACAGGAGGGAGGTATCATTTTTGCACAGGTTGTCACTGTATATTCATTCTAACGCCTGTTTTCTTCAGTCTATACAATCCACACCACAGCTAGCTCTTCCATTCAGTTTCAGTGGGAATATAAGAGGACTGGTACACATGGTCACCTATAATCATTTATATTTCTAATTACTGTAAAGTGGTATCAATATTTATTTCTCACCACTGAACTGTTAAGAGTGGTCTAAATGGGAATTTTTGATCCCTTCTGCGGAATGGAAAATAGTTTTGCTAAAAATGTCTGGTAATAGTCAGAACATACATAGCATGTTTTTTTCAATGCATGCAGTGTAACTCTTTCCAAAGAAACTACACCCAGTTTCTAAGGAAGAAGGTATAAAATTTCAGTAACAAATGTTACTGATTTGCAAAATCCAAACTCCTGAAAGAGGCAAGCAATTGTATATATTATATTGTCTTAGTCACTCAGCAAAAGAATCAAACTATGGAGGATATAATTTTACCTACTGAGAGTTGCACATTTGTTTGAATATTGATTTCATTTTGCTTTCTACCTGGAAATTTTGGAACAGACATGCCATGGGGTTTGGGTTGTTAGCTGGGCCTGGAATTGGGGGCTGGCCTTGAAAGCCCTGCATGTTCTGATACCCCTGGAGAAGGTGCTGTTGCTGCTGATTTGAAGGAAACATCTGATTGTTGTTTAATAGCGACTGGAGATGACTCAGCTGATGGTTATTCAAAGTAGTGTTTATAGATGACATGTCACCTGTAATTCAAACACAGGGAAACATAAGTCAGTATAGTTTTCAACGGTCAGGAGGAATTTCCTCGACTCAAATTTTAACTGACTGCTATGCAAATGCCTCTGTAAAACAACACTTTTCCCCTTCAAACTTCTATGGAATGGTCCTCAAGGCATGTGTCTCCTACTCTTTATTCCTTGATTTCTTCAGTATTGCTTCTTTTGCATGTCACATCTATCTGGACTCGTTCTAAAGGTTTCTGACATGCCTGTCATGCCTTTGGAACGGTACACAGCCAAGTATGGTAGAACGAGCTTCTGTGATATTTGGTGTCTTGGAATCTTACTCTTAGTTTCCAAAGAGTGACTGCTTCAAACAGTACTGGGGTGCTGAGGGGGAGGAGGAGGAGAAGGGGGGTGGGAAGAGAGAGAACGAGAAAATAATTTAAAAACCCCCCAAAACCTAGTTTTTCATTAACTAGGACAAAATAATGTGAGCTAACTGCAAATGAGCAAAGGCTTTTGGCTCACAGACATGTCAGCCAACACTCTAAACAATTTTTTTCTACATGCTAGAGAAACAACTGTATTAACGTTTTGTATTACATGAATATATCACTTTACATACAAATTATAGTTCTAGAAAAATACTCTGTTAAACCTGACTTTATGAAGTAGTAAAGCTTAAAAATGTATCAATTTCCTAGCTTTTTTTGTTGTTTTTTAATTAAAAGCTCGCGTTTTTCTTGAAATTGCCATTTGCAGAATCATTGGTTAGTTGTGTTTTACATGGAAAATGTAAAGGAGGGTTGAGTTCACGATAGCCATTTAGTAGGTAAGTATGAGGTATTAAGTTAAAATACTTATCAGCTCTTTGGCACTATTTAATTCCTCCTCCTAGTCTACTTATTAGATTACATAGTCTAAACAACAGAGGAGTACTAACTACGTTACATATTCTTGGTAAAAATCATCAAAAGACGGAGGAGAAAAAACTCGTATTTATGGTCTTTTTAATGACTTGTTTTGGGATGTAGGTGTTTGTCAAGAGAGATATCCTGGATTTCTAAACTACTAGCTAAAGTAATAAAAACAGAGAAATGAGAAAATATAAATACACAAGAAAGGGCTTGAAGGGCAACCTTCCTCTTTGAACTTGTGCAAGGACTTCCTTCGAGTGCTTTATGGGTTACTTTACGGGGAGTGTGCTTACGGTTTTGGCACTTTTGATTCATTTGGAAAAATGCACTTGGCCATTTTTCATCTACCGCACAGCTACTCGTACTAACCCTGTGATGCCACATGCACTTGAAATGAAACACTGCATCCCAGAGATGCACCTGTGCTTTTACTACTTGAAAAATGAAACAAGTCCAATTGCTTACAGAATTTTAAGGTGTATATAGTGGGCATAGGTGGCATCAGAATTACGAATGGAATATAAAATAATTTCCAAAACCAGTATTAAATGTTACTGAATTAAATGAGAATGTATTTTAAATTTCTTACAATAACAGTTATGGTTTTCTCAATAGAAATAAACAAGCTGTAACATACAAAAGCCTTACAAAAAGAAAGTATGATAAAGTGGAGTCTTTAAAAAATAGAAACTAGAATCCAAAATTCCCCCTCCCCAACCCTCTTCCTTTTTTTTTTTTTTTCCTTTTATATCTGTGAAGAAATTGAACTTACCAAGCAGACCTGTCCCCAGTAGAGGGTTAAGTAGCTGTGGCACCACAGAGTTATTGTTGAGTTTAGCTGGACCAGATGTATTCCCAGCATTATTAGATATGTTCAGCAATGTTTCTGCCATTGACACCACTGCTGTCCCACCACCCAGGGTTGAGACAGACAGTGCTGCCACTGCTGATGATGTAGTGGTTGTGGTAGTGGTTGCTTGGGAGGAGGTGGCTATGGAAACCTCTGGATGATTAGCGGTGTTGCCCGATGCAGAGTTCAGGACACCTCCCACCAGCTGGGGATTCAAGGCCATTAATGCTGAGGCCCCAGAGACAGCTGGGAGGAGCAGGGGGTTAGAAGTAGTGTCAGTGCCTGAAAAGCTTGGTATAGGGTTGCCCAGGGGGTTGGTTAAAAGGGTCTCCACCCTGCTGCTTTCTGACTGATTGCTTGGCAAATGGTCAGGTGGGGCTGTCATCTGTGTAACTGAGGGTAAAGGGTTATTTTGCTGTTGCAACAAATCTGAGATGGTCAGATTGAAAGATGGTAGGGGAAGCATGGCAGCTGCTTGGGCTTGGTTCTGAAGGAGGGTTGCTAGAAGCTGAAAATGAACAGGTTGTAATACCTGCCCGTCCATGTCATTGGAGAGAAAAGCTAAAGCAGCATTTACATTCGGGTTGAGAAAACCTAAAGGGTTGAGGTTGACCTCAGACTAGGCTGTAGTATATTTAATAGATTCTGGTTTAGGAGATGTTGCTGATTCACTGGCAAAGAGATAGGTAGAGAATTGAGGAGGTTTTGATTCAAAGAATGTGGAAGATTGTTGTTTGAAGAGCTGTTCTGCGGAAAATGAAGCGAGTGTTCGTGGCCAGCAAAAGGGAAATCGCTCCCAATGGGCAGCTGGCTCTGAAGTGGGTTTCCAGCTGCAGTAGTGACTATAACACCATCTTGAAGCACAGATGTTGTCTTTGTGATGGCAGGTTGGCTGGTGCCAGCTATGGCTATTGATGATGACGGTCCTGAACCCCCTGCAATGCAAAAGAACAAAAATATTAATAGAATACTGCCTGTTGGGAGACAATCATCGACGTTATAAAGTAACGAGGTTAATCCAAAAGAGTAACGTTTGATACCCACGCACAGGAAAGAAAATGTTTTGAGCATCCAGACATGAGTACTTTTTAAATATGAATGACTGCCATCAGCTACTTCAGACACTACGTGCTGTGCCACATCTCATCAGAAATTATTTAACTAGACACGTGTTATTTCCCTTAAATTTCTTTGAGTGGGGATAGAAAAGGATTTCATTCATTACATATTTTGATTAGCATAAACCTAAAAGCAACCATAACCTAATGTAGTTAGTCATGGACCAGTATGAAATTAACTACTAGGACGAAGGATCAATGGGGGACGTGAATGATGTTGTGTGAAAGAGTCTGAGTACATGATCTAAATATAGATGTGAACCTTATGCTCTTCTATTTCCAGCTCTACTCCACTAATGGGGTTTTGGAGAATTATTATTCAAAGCATTATTTTGGACTCCTGAAGAACAACCACAATGATGACGATTACATGTCATGATGATGCCTGTGATAAAATCTAATGAGCAAAATACATTACGGTCAAGGTAGGTTAACAGACAAAAAACCCCAACAATTTATTAAAAGAAAAAAAAAAAAGAAGTAAATTGGTGTGGTCTAGTTGTATCTTTCACTTGGCAGGAAAAGAAAGACCGACTGGGTAGATTTACTGTGAGGGGGTTACAGGGGAAGAGTAAGAGAATAATAAAGTTTATTTGGCTATCTTTATACCCCTTTACCAAACCTGAAGTATAAAACACATCATTCATTGCCTTTCACTTAAGGCAGAGTCTTGAATCGACAGTGGTCATACCAAAAAACATATGAGAGGAGACTAGGAGAATTAAAGCAAGTGGAATTGCCTTGAACTACATCCTTTTGCTTTATTCATTGCGATTCGTTGGAGAACAAACATGAAAAATATGTATTAAAATTATATACTGCATGTATATAAAACTGTGTAATTATAAATGTATTTAACTATGGTCTTGATGCAATAAAATCGTTTTCCATTCTCAACTGCCCTGCAAATATAGCTCACGTGACAGAGATCAGAAGGTATCGATTATCAGAAGGTATCAATTATCATTTTCCTAAACAAATACTATTTGAAAAGGGATCTGCAACTGTGCTGCTGACTGGTAAGAACAGGATCAAATCTTTACATCATTTGTAACATAAAATACCATTTTTCAAGTGCTGTAACGTTATGACAACTCAAAAAGGTACAAAATTAACACAGTACACGAGGCACTGCATTGAATTCATGAGAAGAAAGATCACACCCTCTCTCCCAGGTACCATTATCACATCTCAGTACAGAAATTAAATAATAAATTAACAAAAGATAAAGTAAGAACAAACTGTAATCATAAAGCAGAGGATATCCTATTCTGCCGTGATGAGAAATACGTCAACAAACCAATAAAAGCAGTTTCACGACACGTCCGTTTCTCTAGGCAGCAGTTTGGAACAAAAACCCACATTAGCACTTGAGGAACAAAACCCCAACCATGCACTGAAAACGTACGTCCCGTCGGATCTCCACTTACGGTTTTGTGTTTAACATTTCAGATTAGGTGGGAATAGCAAATGCTCTGTATTTTGACACCCCCAGGCCTGGCAAATGCCTCATGTATGCCCAAGAGACTGGCACCCATCCCCTCCTGGGCTACCCAGCTCAGAAATAAAGACTTCCAAATTATAGACACCTTCCCAATAAAAGTCAACGAAAAGCTGCTAATCAGACAAGTTGCTCAGAAATTATTCAAAAACTAAGGTGAAGCTAGTAACAGCAAACCTGTTGGTAGAGATGAATGAAAACCACAGCTACGGCAAGTAAGTTTGTTTTCTGCCAGCGTATCTGTCCTACTGCCGGTTACCTAACTCTGGAGAGAAGCCACCGCTGGCGATACCTCCAAAATGGAACACAACAGAACCAAGAAAGATTCTCTCAAGCACGTGCTTGCAGATCAAGGCGAACTTGACCTACTCAAGATGACACGTTAAAAAGATTTTTCATGCGTGTGCACTTTTTTTCCCTTTTAGTATTTTGCTATTTTTATAAATAAGCCAAGAGTAAAACACAGTTCGTACAAATGAGCGGCACAACATAAAATTAAATTCAACGCACATGTTTACTATTTATTTTTAACACACAAGCGTAAACTCTGGCTACTCAAATTCAATTACACAAATCCCAGAGAACCTAAACTAAAATATAACTGCGCATCTTCCTTTTTTTACTAATCTCTGAAATATTTTAAACTGCATTTTTAGAAAAAAGTCTTTACAATCTTTGTGGCTAAAAGCAAATTCTTTTTGTTTCACCAGAGAAAAGAAAACACACCCACTTATAATAGTTTCAAGCTCTCATGCCAGGCTTGTAATGGATCAGTACGTTACAGAGCCCACAGCGATACACGTTATTAACTATCAGGTGCCTGTTTGCTCACAAAAAAAGGAAATTTTCGATTTTGTTTTGTTTTGTTTAAGTCAGTATCCAGAATTGACACTCAAAGGATTTAAATTTTAGGAAAAGTCCCAAAGACCAAACGACAGATTTAAGAAATACCGTTACAAAGTCATTCCTGTATGGTTTTAACAGAAGAATCAGCTGTACCACTCAAACGACACAAGATGGATGCCTACTGTACTTAAAAATACATAGGGCCTCTTAAATACATGTGGGTTGAAAAATTGCTCACTGAAGCAAAACTCTGTCACTGCACTTCAAGACCCACTTAACGTTAGTCTCTCTAGTTGTAATCTGGTTTAAGATGGAGCAGGTGATACCCAAACATCTCCCGATGGCTATTCCTCCCACTTGCAAATGCCCTTCCCCGCTAAATCTTACTGTCATGCCGAGAAAAGCAGGCTACCATCAGCTTAGCCGGACCTGCAGGAACAGTCTGATATACTGGACTTTCTAAGTGTGAGTTCATTTCAGGCAATATTTTTTCGGAAACTCTTTACTCCTGCAGTAGGGGAAAGACAGATATACAAGCTTTTTCCTCGGTAGCTAAGAAAGGCTTCCCTCGCTAGCAGAAATCACATTCAATGTGTTAAGCAGCACATGGATAGATTTTTAATTCAGTCATGAGGCAACTATTCTATATATAGAGCTCTCGTGAATACAAAACCTATTTTGGTATTTTCAAGCGCACCTAATCTCTAATTCATTTATGATCCTATTTTCCATTCCACTCAGGTAAATGACCACATGGAAGAGTATCTGGCGTGAAGTAAATCTCAAGCTTGTAAAACTGTTGCTAGGTTTTTGTCAAGCACTGCTCTCACTTCTATCCCCTGTCAAGCACTGCTTCTGGAGATCTAACCCGAGAGGTCTAGAGCACATTCAACACTTCTCTTTCTCCAGATTAACTAGACAATTAATTAATTGCTACTGGGGAAAACAAATCTTGATGGATTCCGACTAGGAGGAAGAAAATGTGTCCTTATTTCAAACCAGACTTGAGAAGTTTGGGAGTCGAAGAGGCGATGAGCAGCCAGACTTCAACAGGAAAAAAAACCCAACAGGTAAATATTCTCCCCCGGCTTCTGTTAAACCTGCCTCACAGAAAGACACAGTAGGAATTGGGGTAGAAAAGTCCTGAATTGGGTAGTAGCTAATACAATATTTACAACCGCATTCTGGGACAAAGCTATCTCCAGCAACAGACTCAATTGCCAGAATATGATTTCTGGATCTCTTCCAAAATACCATCTCCAACAAGTCAATATTCCAGATGAAGAAACGCATGCGCACCCATTCTTATTAAAATACAGTGCTGCTAGACATGTTCTGAATGCTTGGCCCCAATCCAAAAGACAAAATCTGAATTATTTTTTTCCCCTTTATAAAACACATATAATTTCCATTGTTGGGATAGATAGCGCTGCATCAACAAGATGCAGAATTCCACCTTCGTCTAGAAGGACCACGAGAGCCCTCAGAGAGCCCTCTGAACTGTCCTTCCCCAGTTTCAAAATGAAATCTCCAAGATCCAGGACGAACTTGAGCAGTCCTGTCTTCTTGACTCATGAGGAGACCAGGTGCAACGAGAAGTGATGCCCAGCATCGGCAGCGTGAAGATGCGGAGCGTTCTCTGAAACAGCACGGAAAAATGTGATGTGCCTCACCAAAGCAACGGTATAAGCTATGCTGCGAGTAAAAGAGAAGAAAAGTCCTAGTAAGAGGCTTGTCCTTTCAAATCAGGCAGTAGCACCAAAGCATAGGCGCGGCGATCTGGAACTAACCGTGGATGTCCTCTGAGGTCTGTCTTTTATTCAAAGCGCTATCTAGACCCATACGTTGTATTTACTAGAATTTTCAAAAAGGGCAGGATGACAGCGGAAACCAGATGGTGGATGTCAGCTGAAAAAAGATCCCTGTGCAAACAAGGCGTCTCGGCCGGCAGTGCTGGTGGGACAGCCGTTCTGACCACGTGCATTTCCTTCAGGCCTGGAGAAGGATGACAGCCAGAAGAAAAGAAGATGCACTGCAGCACCGAAGAGTTTCGACAGCGCGTTAGCTCACCCAAAACTCTACCATGAAACGGTTCGTCATTACTGTATCCAGGCTCCAAGGTGACGCTTGGGAGGTTTTTGATGAGAAACGCGAATGGGAGTTGAAAGCTAAAATGAAATCACGAGTTTGATTCCAAGTTTCAGAAAACATGGTATTTTGAATCCTGGAAACCCAAGGCATCGTGCATGTTAGCTCAGTAAACAACAGTCCTTAATAATCAGAAGCTCTTAAGAGTAAAAGTAGAATGAAAAAAAGATGAAGGAGTTAGACTAAAAGCCATAAAAGCCTAAGATGAATGCCGGCTTCCAGCTCCTGCAGACGCCGGTGTCTGCCAAAAGCTCTTTTGCCAGTTGCTGAGAAAAAGGAACCGCCTCTGTAAAGCAGCGAGAAGACGAAATATCCAGAATGCTGAAAAAGTAGATCTATTGTTCTCTTAGAGGGTCAAATAAATGTTTTGGGAGTAAATAAATGGAAATTAAATAGGATACACATTTTTGAAATTATTGCTTTGTGGGCTATAGTATTTTATTTCTGAGCATTTTTATTTTGTTTTCTTTCAAAATCAGGCTTATTTTCCTGTGTGGATTTTATCTGTGTTCCTTTTTTTTTTGAAGTATTGCTTGACAGGTATTCTTAAGCAGATGCAATATAATAACGGGTATTATGAAATCCATTTGTGTTCAAGAAGATTCACTCTCCCTGCTCACTTAAAATAAAGAAATTAGAGTGGAAGATACTGATCATTCACATCACAGCACTGTCCTACCATGAAAAGACAGGAACACAAATGTACACATACGCTGTTTGGACGGAAGGATATAGCCAGAGGTCTATCTTGTTTTGAGTCCTGGTTTTTAAACACTCCTAAGATTTGAACAATATGAAGACTTGGACAGCAAGCTTCAGTGGCCGTCCTCAGAAGGAGAAGTTGGGGGACGAGCTATTGATTTCCAACTAAACAAAAGTAAAGAGTCAAAAACTATATAACGTTTCTGCAGCGGAAGAAGAATTGCGTCTGCATAAAAATATGTAGGAACAGTAATGACTTCACACACTGTGAATAATGCTCAGCTTCCTTATAATCCAGACAATTCAAACCCAAAGCAAACTATAGTAGACTTCATAGATACTAAAAGTACTTCTACCAAATTAAAGAACGTTACCTATATATGTATCTTCCTAAAAAACTGCAGTTAAATATACCAGTTAGGAAACTACAATGGAAATAATATTTTACAACACGTTTCTCTGGAAGGAACTCTCCAGTGTGTATTCTAGTATTTCAATAGTCTCAACAGTACATTGCTGGAGTTCGTAGAATAAAAATAACCAATAAGACAGGTGTATAAAGGACTTAGGGAACTAACAGTGCAGAACTTGCTCATTAGCCATTAATATCTAAAACATTTTAAGAGTTGAAAACAAGTAAATGTTACACATACCACTTTCCCAATTCTTACTTTTATGTATATTCAATAAAAATGCAGCTAGCTTTATTTTATATTTTGTATTTTCTTCATTGCTTTTTAAATTTAGAACATTTTAAGTTTTTGAAACCCTTGTCAGAAACTCACATTCAACTCCTTGTCATGTAATGAGCTTCTTGCTAAAACCTCCACCACTTCCAACCTCTCCTAGGGTAAAACTCAGTAGCTTTTTCAGAAGAAATCTGCAAGATCCTTTCAAAATGATCCAGCGAGAGTGGAGAGAGGAAAGTTTCACTGCATACCTTACCCTGAGATGATGAAGGTGTGAAAGTACAAAAGATCACTTAGGCATTGTAATTACTACTGTATCTCAAATGGTTTGTGCAACTTCTACCGCACAGGGTCACCAAGCCATGCTGGAGGCCTCCAGAAGCTACTGCAATACTGATATGAAATAATAATTAATATCAACTTGGAGACACGAACACATAGTTTGCATCACTGGCAATATTGTTAAATTAGCGATTTTAAGAGGCTTAACTTTCACAGAAGTATAATCGCTGATGGAAGCGATAGGACCTCATATTCCTTAAAAATTTGAGACAACATGTTCTTGCTTTAACTACATATTCCATCACTTACCTATAAGCTTAGAACCAAGAGTTATACAATTTTATAATTGTATTCTCTGTTTCCTTTTTGGAATGGAAAACATTTAAGATATTTATCTGGCGACACATTTATTATAGTGCTCCCAATCCTGAAGGAACCATAATTCAGCAGTTAACTGCAAACTACTGTCAGTTGTTCTTATTGAGATTGTGCGCTCCCTTGAGACAGCGAAGAAACGACGATCAATGGACCAATAAATAAAACATCCTTCTCAGCCCAGCAGAACCAGTTAAAAACGTGGACTCCCCTCATATACAATACTCCGTCCGCACAGAATGGGCTCTTCTGTGAAACATTTAACTGCCTATCCATAATATCACGCTTATCACTGTAGCAGCTGAGCTTACTACTATGACTACCAATGGCATAATGCTGCATGATCTTTTTTTTTTTTACTTACAACAAAACAGCTGTAACGTTGGCCCCATTCTTAAATAGTGTTTTTCAACCTCTTGCTTTAACAGATTATTTGAAGGATGAAAATCACTGAAATACAGCATGCAGTCTCTGCATCTTCTGAGAAGTGACTCGGCCAAAAATGAGTCTGTCAAAATTTTGGGGGAAGGGCAAAAAGTCCAAAGCAGTTTCTAGGACAACAGAAATCTTTAAAATTAGGCTTTTTTTTTTTTTTTTAAAAAAAATACCTGACTGAATTCAGTCTTGGCTCTTCTCCTTGTCCCTGTCTCTTCCGACTTCTGCATTTTACCATCACTGCTGTTTTTAACATTACTTTGGGAAAACTATTCTTCTGTGCTTAGCTGTTAACAGAAAGCAAAAGCAGTCTTCTAGTAAAAATCTGTGAAGACAACAGCATACAAATGAAGGAATAATCTTTCAGTATTTACTCAGTGTTGGCACCTAGGCTGATCCTGTCTTGTATCATCCCCCATTCACAGCTGTGGGAGATGCCGTGCAGATGAGGTAAAACATTTCATTGCAAATTTGGGAAATTAAAAATTCAATAAAAAGCATTATTTCTTTCATAGTCCCCACTCCACCCTCCAGCAAGTTTTGGAGTTGCCCATTGGAAAATAAGAATATTTTCCAAAGATGTGGAGAGCTAAATATGTATGGGGAATCTCATATAATTAATTCAGTTTTTCTTCACAATCATATCTTTAATAAAATAAGACTCAGCTTTCTGCATATTTTATTATTATTTTTTACAAATCCTCTAACTTTTATTAATATAAACACCTAGAAAAATGTATGGCAATTAAAACACTAACCCAGGTAAGAGTCTGGTTAACTAAAACACTGTGAGTTACCGGCAAATTCAAATTATAAGAAAAAAAAACACCACAAGAAAAACCCAAGCTGTGTGTCTAAGCAAGCGACGTGCTCGGTAAGCGGAGCTCAGCAGAGCCGAACTTTCAATCGTGGTATTTATCTCAGAGGTAACGCCAGCGCGATTCGCAAACGGGATACGGCAGCGCCTGCAGGGCCCCCCCCAGCAGGTGAGGTCAGAGTACAGCTACTACACAGTGAGGGCATCAAGTTCAAAGACAAGCAGGAAGGAGGTAGTAGCAATGTCGAGGTCTACGTCACTGCACACCTTTCACGAAAGAGCCTCGCGCTCGGAGCACGTGCCCCCGGATGCGGAGAAGCGGTACGTGATCCCATCATCACCCTCGACAAGCCAGCGCTGGTACTATCACCATTCCTGATCTTCTCGCACCAAAACTCAACCAGCATAACGTGTCTGATACAGTTGTAAATAAATTATTCTTACATTTCCTTTTTCCACTTCTACTCAAATTACAGGCTTACTCCTTTCAGCTCCCTGTACTAAACAACCAAGTTAATTAAGTAGAAATCGAGCCGATTCCCAAGTTTTTCCAATTTGCTAGCACTTGCTAACAATAAACATTCATAAACAGAGGTAATTTGAAAAGGAAAATCTATTCCACTACCAATTTTTTCCTCTATTGTAACCCTCACGGTAGCAAGTATGTTTACACCAACTGTATAGAAGTCTATCATGTTAACAACTAAGTTTTACCTCCTACAATTGCTGATGCCTACTAAGCCAGTGATTCCTTTATGTTCAGAGAATGAGAGCGGTTTTGCGCATGAACCTTCCATCAAGAGTTAAAAAGAGCAAATAAATGGGAATATTCATTTCAACGGCAG